TTTTACATTTTGGACAAAAATAAATACTTTGGGTGTATTTTAAGCCTTAGTACTGGTTTTACACTGGGTAACGTCATCACATACTAGTAGCACTTAGCCTTGACACTGTCTAATAGGAATTCTTTGGGAAAATTACTGATTGTTTTTACTGGTCAAGAATAACATAAGCAACGAGAGCAGTTGCAGCAGTTGGCTGCTTAACTAGACTTTGAAAGTCATACATGTAGTGGCGGTATTAAAACAGCTCAATTTTCTGTGTTAGCAATGGCATTTTCAAAGCGTGCAATATCAAGCGACCTTAAAACAATGACCTGAGGAAGCAAAATTCTGTAGGCCTTTAGTATGCAACAAATGTGTTAAGATGGTTTGCTTAATATGACTAAATAAATTTTTGCAGTAGATGTGATAGAACATTAGTAAACTCACAATTTCTTACTTTGATTATAAACCTTATGATTCATTTCTACACAAAATCTATTGCCAGTAGGGGAATCCTCTCCTTACTTACTTCCACTTTTTTCTTACTTTCACTTCTCCATTGCGTATTTTGCTTCCATTGTTATTGCATAATGCTGACACCACGACAAAAGATGGAGATGAAGCAGGACCATTCTCCCTTCTACTCGTATTGCAAATGACAACTTGAGTTGACTTAAACATTGGACAATCTTTTAAAAACCACCAGTTCTGTCTGTATTCAAGAAAGATTTCCCTGCACACCTCCAGGTTGCACCAGAATCTGTTTACTTGCTTGACCTTCGGCGAGAGAACTAAGCATAGCCATCAGCCGAGTCTGCAGCTAGAGGTACGCATATGCATAGTGTAGTGAGGGTGAAGTGGTGTGTGCCTTGTAAAAGTGCGTTGGGTGGTGAGTAAATCGTAGGAGATGACCCGTGATATTTCCGCTCGCCAAACAAATGTGGAAGCACATGAGCTACCCCATATCACAATTCAGTCGATCACTCATTCGTTCAGAGCGTTTGCCTAGATGGCATACAGTCCTCATTCATCACCAGTTTTCACATGGTACAAGAAAAAAGTGAAGAGCGATTTGACAGTCTTTGAGTCTCATCATCACCTCCCCACTCCTGTCTTGACGCCTCTATTCCAGCTGATGCAGGCGGCTACGACTTTTCACAGCCTTCACATCATACATTGCCCCATTGATTGGCACGCTGATTCACCATTGACGCGGCAATAGCAACACGCATATGCAGAGTCCTCCTTGCCATTATGCATCCACGTAGAAATTGAGCACTTCATTGCCAAAAACAGGCAAATACAACCACATTCTACATGGTGCAATCTGCTGTTCCAACCCCTCTATGGGCTTCATCGCAAGGTTGACGAGGGATTGTTGCGCTCACGTATTTGAAACCTGAAACAATTTCAACTTGAATCGTGCAACTCATAATATTCACGCAAGTCCATCCAGGCTGTCGACAAATGACAGCAGCATTCAATAGCAAAAAGGTGTTCAAAATTTTCGGCCAATTTGTGGTGTAATTTTAGGTGCCGTCGTTTCCTCCTCAAAAAATAGGTAGTTGGATACTACGGGCTTGTTTCTTGAATGTCCCATATGTACCTGATTTTACAAAATAAGTAATAAAGATAGAAAAACCTCTTTTAAAAGGATCAAAGTGTATTGGCAGAAAAGATAGGAGTTTCTTTTCAGGGCTGCCATTGTATGAGTGGTTTTCGGAGAATAAAAGAGGATATTTCCTATTTCATTTAGTCATATTTTTATTTTGAAGTTGTTTTGCGTTTTAATTTTCTCTGAGGGGCTTTTAAACGTGAATTTGGCATAAACTAAACGCCATAAAGCCAGAATGGCAAATGGAACCTGTGAGGGTTGAATACCTGCTTAGATAAGTGCATAGTTTAAACAAATGGGTCCAGGAAAATCTTTTGAATTTGTCGTTATGAAGTAGACGCTGGTTAAAAAAAACTTCCACGAGGTAGACCAGAAGGTTTGCTGTGGGAATAGTCAGTCCACTTAAATTCAGAACAGAGTAACACGTAGGCTGCTGCCGTCACGCATGTATGACACATGTTCCGTATCAGTTTATCACACTTACCTGAACCCAATTTCATTGCAAATATATTAGTAGAGTGCAGAAAACAATTGTTTTCTTAAACCAAATGTTCTTTGAGGGCAATTGGGCGTATTTTTGCCATGTTAGAGCAATGCGGCATCTTATCACTGGTGTTTAAATTTTTTACATGACTCTATTAGTAAGCGTTCTACGGTAACATTGCAAACAAAGGATGATTTTCTACTCGCCTAAACCACATCTTGGTTCTTGAAATACCCCCATAATGGATGTTTTTGGATTCTTCACGTCTCAGGTCGACTCATTTGTCAATAGGCCATTTAAAACAAGAGTTTGTAACGATCTTAAGCCTTGAAGGGCGTCTTGTATATCAAGCTCTGATTAGCAGTGATCTGTTTTCTCTTATGTTTATGCTAAGAACCCAGCCATTGCAGTCAACACCATTGCTCATTTTAAGGAATCTAGCCTGCCCATCATCAACAATAAAATGCTCAAGCCATCAATGGGGTTGCTATGATGAAAGTAGCTGATTAAAATGTGATAAATTTAGGGAACAGTTAAAAGAAATGATACCACCTAAAAGTTGGGAAGTTAAATTACAACTGATGAGTCAATGCATTTAAATTTTTAATTTGAATCCGGATATCAATTTTGAACTTGACTACTTTAATTGTATGCCCCACAAAAGTGATGAGATTTTAGGCTTTGTGATAGAAGAAAATCGGACTGTAGTATGAAAATTTTTTGTAGTTTTATACACCTTCGCCATGCCAAATCTGTTCGAATCGGCAGAACGATTATACAGGCGGATATCTGGAGGTAACCAACGCTTCAGTCGAAAAGCAGACTCCCGTTCAAACGATGGAGCAGCTCTCTCCTCTGCCAATCCCATTAGCGGTGCGACATCAGGGCCATGGAAAAATACTTCCTCCTGTGCCAACAGCTCATCAAATCTTGCTACCTCCACAAAATCCGAGTCCAATGATGTAGGTTGGGTACCCCATGTCCCGCCTCGTTTGCCACAGCCCCCCGGTGAGTTGACTGAAGTTTCCAGCCCAAGCGACAGCGGAGAAGGTGAAGGGTATAATTCAGCGTTAGCAAACCCCGCTGGGTCCCGAAATCAACGCCTTCGACAAAGTTTACAACGCGCTAAGGCTGCAAACTTTGAAATGCCAACTGATTTTCAAAATCGGTACCCTAGTGCTGAACACCTCTATTCACAAAATGCTGAAGCTTTTGGTGATGAAGAAGAAAGCAATGACCAAGACGAGGAGGATGAAGGTGGGACCTATGATGACCCGGACAGATGCATTGCTGATAAATTAGGAAGGGAAGAAGGCAATGAATCAGAAAATATGACTTGTGCTTTTGCATCATCGCAAGTCTTGCAGTCAAGGGCTGGAATCCGTTGGTCATCTGACCCACCGCAACCACTGGTAAATATTCTGCCAAAAATTCGACGTGGTCTTACTCCACCAAACACGGAATTTGTGCGTGCAATCTGTCAACGTCCGTCTTGTCGATGTTTGCTTCGTGGACACGATACACTAATGCTATTTCCACTTTTTGATGCAGTACTTTGCGAATCTACATGGGAGAAGATTAAGGAGAGTCAATCATTTACTGCCTCTTCTTCCTCCCGTTCAGCTGCTTACTTTCTGTCGCGTCTTCAGCATGTTCATTCCTCAGGTCCTTCGTCTGAAACTCAGGCAAATTTGATAATGTTTCGACAGTGTCGAGGATGGTACGAGGTAATGAATGAGAACCATGAACCTGTACCTCATTGGACCACCACAGAGGAGGTTCGAATGGCTAAACCTCCAACATTCCTTGTCCGCAGAGATTTAAAGTGTCTGCTGGCCCCGTGTGAGCTCTGGATACCTCACCAAATCAGCGACTTTGTTGGATCAAATTCAAACTCCGCTGACAATAATAGTAGTGCACCCCCGCCAATTCCCATTTCTTCAAAGATTGTAGTCGAAGCCGCAAATCCCAGGACGATAGCAGCAAGTACTCCCCATATTCTAAAGCCAGGAATGCTATTATCCTACGTAGACTATCTTCACGACTGTACTGTGAGTCGGGGAAAGAAGTTCAGGCAGATTTCATTGATTCTCGCAGTGGAGAAGCAGCGTTCTCAGCGTCAGGCGGAGACCCCTTCTGCACCCAGAAGACTCTTCTACATTGGTACGGAAGATGCTTCAAGTCAGGCCGTATTTCCTACCAAATTGGCACTGAGTCCTATAGCAGGTCCAGAAAATATTTCTGGTGTGCATACACTTTCCTCAGTCCTAAGAAAATTTCGACTCCCGCTGTCTATTGTTCCTGTTGCTGTTCCCGAAAGAAAACTTCCTTTGATAGGCAGCAATATAAGTAGTTTGAGCAATGAATCGGGCTCGACCAATTATGCCACAGCGCAGTCCTCAAAACCCGTGAATATCTTTCCAACAGTACCCGGAATTGTCTTTACTGAACGCAGTTTTATTCGTCTCCGGGGATTGCTGCGTGGAGACATTATGATTGTAGCACCGGTGGACGCCCCAGACCGATTTTTCCTAATCACCCCAACCCTGCTTCAAGATCACCTCTTCCAAATTGGATTCACAGAAGACGACAGGTATCAACGACTCGCCATTGGACATAAAAACCGAACTATCAACTTTATCTCAATGGCACATCCACGTGAGTCCCTTGAATATCTTCTCGTCTACCTCAAAAATATCACAAATCGTCCACGAGTCATATCGTCAGGAGGCAAAAATGAGAGTGATGGACGAGAACTGTGGGATCGGTTTAAGGCTGGAGTGTTGCAGACATGCCAGATTACTCCAGCAATGGCAAAAGCGATGTACGCCGAGAGTGGAAGGGATCCCAGAACTGGACCTAATTGTGATTTAACTCCAGAGGAACTGGAACTCATGTACGATGAGATGGATGATCTGTACTTTTTCACCCGAAATGGTTATTTTCCGCCAAAGTCACGACAAAGACGGTTAAGATCAACTTCGGGAGTCCAACAACAGCCACAACTACAGCAACAATTGTCGATGACATCATCGAAAACAACCGCCAGTGGAATGCCAGCAGAAGCTCTGAAAAATTCAGCTATTCCAAGTGCCGAGCAATTGTTGGCTGCTAGTCTCAACATCTCAACGTATAAATAAAGTACACAAATCCCATTGCCTTGTACATTTTGTCTCTTCCCCTAACTCCACTTCATAACTAAATAATGTGATAACCTCTCTCGACCTTGAAAGTGATAAAGCATGGCTGCCAAAATTGCTCTCTCTATCTCCCTTCCTCATTCAAGCCCCCATTTTATAAGTATTATTTGTTTGTTTTTGTTTCTTTTTCTACAATCTACTCTTTCATCCGTGTATTGCGCCTTGTTTAGTGTCAAAGAAGTCCGACAGTATAACTAGTCATGAAGTGGATAAAACCCATGTTTGGCGTACACATCTGCCACATGTACGCACTACATTTAGCTTTCAGATCTCGCAACATGCAACAACATGATTTGGGAAATGCTTCCCTCCATTGTCAAAACATTGCATTAACATCTTATATGCAGACCAATAACGAAATCCTGCCTATGTCCCATGATGTGACAACTTTGGCAGTGAAAGGACGTTCTGTCAATCCTACAGATGAGATTGTCTCTTGTGCGACATTACAACAGGTAATTTTTAGGTCATCCGGGATGAGAAACACGTGCGCCACATGTTACCTTAATGCTTGTAAAAATAAACGGTGTGACTACGGTCTAGGAATGGACAGAACCATTACCGCTAAATACGCGGCCCACAAGCTGATGCATAATCGTCTTCACGACAATTACATCACTTCATTGCATTTT